AGTAATTGCCGATTTCGGTTATAGATGTCTCTCACTCCCATTTTTATGATATCCGTAAATGTTATATTATAAAATTATTATTATATTATTTTTTATTATCCGTGAATGTTAGCAACTGGACAAATTGAATGCAGCGGTCAAGGAAAAGCGACCAGAATTGGTCAATCGTAGAGATGTCATTTTCCAGCAGGACAATGCTAGGCCGCACACGTCTTTGTCCACTCGGCAAAAATTGATGGATATTGCTTGGGAATTGATGTTACACCCACCATATAGCCCTGATCTCGCGCCATCGGATTACCACTTATTTCGATCCCTGGACAACTCCCTTCGTGGTAAAACTTTTAACGACGATGACGCTGTAAAATCTCACTTAACTCAGTTTTTGGCCGAAAAGGATCAGACTTTCTACGAGCGTGGAATTTTCAAGTTGTCAGAGAGATGGCAAAAGGTCATCGAACAAAATGGAAAATACATTACAGATTAAACTTCGTTCCAAGTAAAAAAAAATTTTTATTTCATTGAACAAATCGGCAATTACTTAGTTGCCAACCCAATAGATCGGTTATTCCGTGTGAGATTCCCGATCTCGCCGGGAGATTAGGCGCGCCGAGATTAGGGAAACGGGAGAGGATTTTCGTATTCACAGGAATACTAGATGCTAGGTTGCACAAGCTGTATATACGCTATCGGTGTTGCAGAAGCTGGGCGACATGACTCCAGAAATGACCGTAAGTCCACTGTAAATACGCGCACGATTACAATTTTTTCTTGTTCGACTTATTATTATTCATCATTGCTGTGCATGCCTGCACACGCACGCGTCATTCGTGAATCGTTCCTTTTGTGAATTGTATATACTTCGATTAATAAATTGATTACTTTACAAACATGCTCATTTCAATCACCCGCTTCTCCCATTTCATTCTCAAAATATTCTACGTACCATTTATATATATTATATATATACACTATTTTGTATATTACACTGTGTCTGCTCATTATTTTTATGTATATGTTTTATATAAAAAATATATTTATTACTATATATATTATATATATTATTATATACATATATTATATATATTTATATATATATTTTATATATATATAAACTATATATACATATAGTTTTTATACTATTTTGTATATTACACTATGTCTGCTCATAATTTATATTATAATATAAAATATATTATATAAAGAATATATATATTATATATATATATATTATGTATAAACTATATATACATATAGTTTTTACACTATTTTGTATATTACACTATGTCCGCAGACAATTTTTGCTTGGTGCACCAACGTCTCGACCGCACTGTTTTAAATCACCACGAAACAATACAGCTGTCACGTATCTCCAGTCAATTATGTGCACAAATAAATATCGTTAGAAAACTCAGTAATCTATTAAACACACCTTGCGACTGCTGTGTAACGTCAGAGAACGCGTTGAACAGTGTACACTGCGTCTAGGTTCGATTCGTGATGGACGAGTCGACGACCTTGGCGGACTTGTTGGAGCTGAACCTCCACGACTGCGAGGAGGAGGTGAAGAACATCGTGGACAAGGCTGTAAAAGAGATGTCCATGGAACGATACATGCGGGAGCTGAACACCACGTGGTCCAAAATGGAGTTCGAGAAGGAAACGCACGCCAGAACCGGCGCCACCTTGATCAGGGCAAGCGAAGAACTCATAGAGACCCTGGAAGAGAACCAGGTGCTTGAACCAACTTTCGAACGTCCCCCCCCCCCCTCCCAAAAAAACGAAACGAAAATTACAATCACCACCTCTTCCAGGTGCAATTGCAAAACCTCATCACCTCGAAGTTCATCGCCCACTTCTTAGGCGAGGTATCTAGCTGGCAGAAGAAGCTCAGCATCGCGGATCAAGTGACCACAGTTTGGTTCGAGGTTCAGCGGACCTGGATGCACCTGGAGAGCATTTTCACCTCCTCGGAGGATATTCGTAGGCAGCTGCCGGTAGACGCGGAGAGATTCGACAGGATAGACAAAGAGTTCAAGCTGATGACGGAAGAGATGGCGAAGACGCCCAACGTGGTCGAGGCTACCAACAAAGAGGGCCTGGCGTCGGCTCTGGACATCCTGCAGAAGGAGCTGGTTCTATGCGAGAAGGCCCTGGCAGAGTACTTGGAAACGAAGCGTCTTGCTTTCCCTAGGTTCTACTTCGTTTCGTCCAGCGACTTGTTGGACATCCTGTCGAACGGCAATCAGCCTGAAGTGGTGGCCAAGCATCTGACGAAGCTGTTCGATTCCATGGCTCGCTTGGAGTTCGACGACAGCGCCGACAATCTGCCCAGACGCGTACTGGGTGAGTTTAAAGATCTTCAATTTATCTTATCCGCCTTTTCAGCGGAATACTCTAAAGATCGACGAACGAGGATTCGTTGAGAAACGACGTTTCTTCGTGTTCGAAGGGATGTTCGCGAAGGACGGCGAGTACGTAGAATTCGCGAACTGCGAGATGACTTGCGAGGGGGCTGTGGAGGCGTGGCTGAACGGCCTCCAGAGGGCCATGAGGGTGACCATAAGGCACTACTTCAGCGAGGCGGTGGTTGCCTACGAGGAGAAGCCGCGGGAACAATGGCTGTTCGACTATCCGGCTCAGGTGTCTCTGTGCGGCACGCAAATCTGGTGGACCACCGAGGTGAACATCGCGTTCTCCAGGCTGGAGGAGGGCTACGACAACTCGCTGAAGGACTATCTGAAGAAACAGATCTCCCAGCTGAGCATCCTGATCGCGCTGCTGATCGGAGAACTGACGAAGCAGGAGAGACAGAAGGTGATGACGATCTGCACGATCGACGTGCACTCGAGGGACGTGGTCGCCAAGCTGGTGCAGTCGAAGGTGGAGACCTCGCAGGCCTTCCAATGGCAAAGTCAACTGCGACACCGGTGGGACGAGAAGGAGAAGGATTGCTTCGCCAATATTTGCGATGCCCAGTTCAAATATTCGCACGAGTACCTGGGAAACACTCCCAGGTTAGCGTTACAGGGCCTAGGGCTCTTTACGAGCGCGTTCGTATCCTTGAAAGTCGAGTAGAATTGTTGAGAAACGAGAGAGCTTGAGGATTAGAATCGCGGATCATCTAATCCCCCTTCTAATTTAGCCTTTACTCTCTGAAGTATCTTAGAGGATAACCGACATCGCGCGTCAGCTCTCGCTCCACGAACCTTATCGCAAAGTTCCTGTTACAGGGCCTAGGGCTCTTTACGAGCGCGTTCGTAACCTTGGAAGTCGAGTAGAATTGTTGAGAAACGCGAGAGCTTGAGTATTAGGATCGCGGATCATCTAATCCCCCTTCTAATTTAGCCTTTACTCTCTGAAGTATCTTAGAGGATAACCGACATAGCGCGTCAGCTCTCGCTCCACGAACCTTATCGCAAAGTTCCTGTTTCCGTTTAGGTTGGTCATAACGCCCTTGACGGACAGGTGCTACATCACCCTGACGCAGTCCCTTCACCTGGTGATGGGAGGTGGCCCGGCAGGACCAGCCGGCACGGGGAAAACCGAGACAACGAAGGATCTGGGCCGAGCATTGGGCATAATGGTCTACGTGTTCAACTGTTCGGAGCAAATGGACTACAAGTCCTGCGGCAACATCTACAAGGGCCTGGCACAAACGGGAGCCTGGGGCTGCTTCGACGAGTTCAATCGAATCACCGTGGAGGTCCTGTCGGTGGTGGCGGTCCAGGTGAAATCGATTCAGGACGCGATCAGAGACAAGAAGGACAAGTTCAACTTCATGGGAGAGACGATCAGCCTGGAACCGACTGTGGGCATCTTCATCACCATGAATCCTGGCTACGCTGGCCGCACGGAGCTCCCGGAGAACTTGAAAGCGTTGTTCAGACCTTGCGCCATGGTGGTGCCCGATTTCGAGTTGATCTGCGAGATCATGCTCGTGGCGGAGGGTTTCCAAGATGCCAGGATTCTCGCCAGGAAGTTCATCACGTTGTACACTCTGTGCAAAGAGCTTCTGTCCAAGCAGGATCACTACGATTGGGGCCTGAGAGCCATAAAGTCCGTGTTGGTGGTCGCGGGGAGCTTGAAACGTGGGGATCCTGGGAGACCCGAAGAACAAGTGCTGATGCGAGCCCTGCGGGACTTCAACATCCCCAAAGTGGTGTCCGACGATCTTCCTGTCTTCATGGGACTGATCGCGGACCTGTTCCCGGCGCTGGACGTTCCCAGGAAGAGGGACGCGGAGTTCGAGAAGATGGTGAAGCAAGCCGCAGCCGACTTGCAACTTCAGCCGGAGGATGGGTTCATCTTGAAGGTCGTCCAATTGGAAGAACTGCTCGAAGTGAGGCACTCGGTGTTCATCGTGGGAACCGCTGGCTCTGGCAAGACCCAGGTCTGGAAGACCCTGTTCAGGACCTACCAGAACATGAAGAGGAAGCCCGTGTACAACGATCTGAACCCCAAAGCTGTCACCAACGACGAACTCTTCGGGATCATCAATCCGGCGACCAGGGAGTGGAAGGACGGTCTGTTCTCCGTGATCATGAGAGAGCAGGCGAATCTGGGAGGCGAGAATCCGAAGTGGATCGTCTTGGATGGCGACATAGATCCGATGTGGATCGAGTCGTTGAACACCGTCATGGACGACAACAAGGTTCTGACTTTAGCCAGCAACGAACGGATCGCTTTGACGCCCGTGATGAGACTGCTTTTCGAAATCTCGAACCTGAGGACTGCCACTCCAGCTACGGTGTCCCGAGCTGGGATCCTGTACATCAATCCTCAGGACCTAGGCTGGAACCCCTACGTGACCAGCTGGGTGGAGAAGAGGATCTCGCCGATAGAGAAATCGAACCTGGTGATGCTGTTCGACAAGTACATCCCTCCTTGCTTGGACACCTTGAGGACCAGGTTCAAGAAGATCACGCCTATCGCCGACATGGCGCACGTGGAGATGCTCTGTCACTTGTTACACTGTCTGCTGAAACCGGAGCTGACCGGCATCGACTTCTTGAAGGAGCACTACGAACTCTACTTCGTGTTCGCAGCGGTTTGGGCGTTCGGCTCCTCCATGTTCCAGGATCAAACCGTAGATTACAGGGTGGAGTTCAGCAAATGGTGGGTCAACGAGTTCAAGCAGATCAGGTTCCCGCAGCAGGGCACCGTTTTCGATTATTACATCGACGCCGAGACGAAGAGCTTCACACCCTGGACCGAACGTCTGCCCAAGTTCGAGCTGGACCCTGAGATACCACTGCAAGCAGTGCTGGTTTACACGGCGGAGTCCATCAGGATCAAGTACTTCCTGGATCTCCTGATGGTGGAGAAACATCCGGTGATGTTAGTGGGCACCGCCGGCTGTGGGAAGACGGTGCTGGTCGCCGAGAAGCTTCTACACCTGCCCGAGAACTATGCCGTGTCCAACGTGCCCTTCAATTTCTATACCACTTCGGAGATGCTGCAGAAGATCCTGGAGAAGTCGCTGGAGAAGAAAGCCGGCAGGAATTACGGCCCGCCTGGGAACAAGACTTTAGTGTACTTCATAGACGACATGAACATGCCCGAGGTGGACGCTTATGGGACCGTTCAACCGCACACTCTGATTCGCCAGCATCTGGATTACGGTCACTGGTACGACAGGACCAAGCTGACGCTGAAAGATATCCATAATTGTCAGTACGTCAGTTGCATGAACCCAACCGCCGGATCGTTCACCATTAATCCGAGGTTGCAGAGGCATTTTTCTGTGTTCGCTGTCAGTTTCCCCAACACCGACTCCCTGACCACGATCTACGCCTCCATTTTGTCCCAGCATCTGTCCAACGTCGAGCACAGGTATCTATCATCGCCTTTATTCAGTGCAATAGTCCCTGACGATGCTGCCATTGCAGGTTTCCCCACTCGGTCACAGAGCTGTGCAACAACATAGTGCAAGCCTCCATCCAACTGCATCATCGCTGCGCCCAGATGTTCCTCCCGACAGCGGTGAAGTTCCACTACATCTTCAATCTCCGAGAACTGTCGAACTGCTTCCAAGGGATGCTGTTCAGCGGCAACGAGTGCCTGCCATCCGCCCTAGATCTGATCAGGCTCTGGCTCCACGAGACTCATCGGGTTTACGGGGACAAATTGACCGACGAGAAGGACATCGAAAGCTTCTCGAAGCTGCAGCTAGACATCCTGAAGAAGAACGTGGAAGAGGTCGACGAGGGAGCTGTGCTAGAGAAACCGAACATTTACTGCCACTTCGCAGGTCATTTCGCCCCCCTCTGAATCAGTTGTTCTCGAACAATTTTTACGTTGGAGTCTAAAAAATTATTTTCCGCAGGCGGTGTCGGCGAGCCAAAATACATGCCGGTGAGGGAATGGGCGACGCTGCACAGACTACTGTCCGAGGCAATGGTCAGCTACAACGACCTGGTAGCAGCCATGAACCTGGTGCTCTTCGAGGACGCCATGATGCACGTCTGTCGCATAAACAGGATCCTAGAGTCGCCGAGAGGCAGCGCTCTTCTAGTTGGTGTAGGAGGATCTGGCAAGCAGAGCTTGTCCCGACTGGCAGCGTTCATAAGCACGCTGGAGGTGTTCCAAATTCAGCTGAAGAAGGGTTACGGCATCACTGATCTCAAATTGGAGCTCGCTGTTCTGTATAACAAGGCAGGCTTGAAGAACTTGGGCCTGGTGTTCTTGATGACCGACGCGCAAGTCGCCAACGAGCAGTTCCTCGTGCTGATCAACGACATGTTAGCTTCCGGCGAGGTTCCCGACCTGTTCGCCGAGGACGAAGTCGAGAACATCATTGCAGGTTCGCTGCTCGGCAGCATTGCGATTAGTCTGCGGATCTTATTGTCATCGTCTCGCGTGTCGAACAGATATTAGATGAAGATATGTTCCTTCTTTTAACCTTTTAGGCACGACGCGCCACTATAGTGGCTTACTCTAGTAGCTCACTCGGTCATCGTTTGAATCAAATAATTGTCTTCATATGCATTGTTTCACACTTATTTTGTCTTCACATCGATTTACAATATACAGACTTATCTTAACAATATAACTGTATCTTAACAATATACAGACAGAATATACAGACACTCTGTACAGTACATATCAGACTTTGCCGTCCAGAGAAATAGCCTCGCGCAGAATTCAGCCGTACCTAAAAGGTTAACGATGTTAATATAGCAAAAGCAACGTTGCAGTATTTTCTAACCCTTAACGCTCCGCGCGTTTCTCGAGTACTGCCTACCAGCAACTCCGGCATATTTTTGGAGCGAAGCGTCTGAGATAAAGGAAGTCTTATTTCGAGTTTAGAACATTTTCTGCGCAATTGTTGGTTTCCTTTATAATTTCATTTACCAATTCGTCCGTGAAAAATAATTAAAAATATTGTATCGGCTGTTCAATGTTTGTAGAAACTTGCGGTCCAATGACCTGTGGCAATACGCTAAAAGGTATTCTATCTGGAATATGTAATTCTTCCGTAACATTACGCCATTCATTTAAGTCTTGTAACGAATCTTCGCTTTCACTTTCAATAATTCTCATTCTTCGTCTCTTTGGTAGCGTAATTTTGCTACTACTACTTGAAGTGTCAGAATCATAACCAACATCGTCTTCCACAATGTCTTTTAACTCTTCAAAATCAAATACGTCTTCGGTATCACTCGGCTCTAAATTCTCATCATAATATTTATTTTTCTCCATGTTGCTAACCATAGAAAAGGTCAAAAAATGGTTTAATCGTAATGGTACAGACTTAGCACGTTTTAACTACAGATAACAATTGCTAACGCCGACGATAACGTGTGCTAAAAACATTTGGCTCCGCAGCGGAGCCTTCGGGGTTACGGAACAAATGACAAATGTCTCCGTAGCGGAGCCTTCGGAGCGCTAAGGGTTAATATAGTAAAAGCAACGTTGCAGTATTATTAAAATTTGTTGTCTCGTCTATGCTGTTCTGTGCGTCGTCTATCCATTTTTGCTCTAAGTGCACAAAAAGATCCGCAGCCTAATTATGACGTGGTCGGCGCGAGGCCAGATGGAAATCTGTCTTCAGCAGATTTCAACAACCCTTTACGACGTATGACGATGCGTAGAATACACCTAATAGATACTGAACGGTCACAGGCGTCCGCAACGAGGTGAAAGGTGCCGGGATGCTAGACACCCGCGAGAACTGCTGGAAGTTCTTCATCGACCGGGTGCGCAGGCAGCTCCGAATAGTTCTCTGCTTCTCCCCGGTAGGATCCACTTTAAGGGTCCGCTCGAGGAAATTCCCGGCCATAATAAATAGCACGGCGATAAACTGGTTTCACGAATGGCCGCAAGAAGCTTTGATGTCTGTGTCGAAGAGGTTCCTGCAGGAGTTGGACGAACTTCCCGAAAGTTATAGGTATTCCGGGGCATTCTGTGGCCGAGGGGAACGCGAATAGTATCTTCGGGCAATAGCAACGATTGTTGGAAACGGACTTCGGCGAATTGCGTACGCTTCGGGTCCGAGTACACAGTCTCGATACACTGCCGCGATCGAACCGCGGCAACGTACCGAAACGTAACAATCGCTCGCGATGGCTGCAATTTTCCGAATTCGAAGTCTGACGAATTTTCCCGATTCAGAGACTCGGCGGCGAAGTTCATGGCACACGCCCACACCAGCGTCAACGCAGCCAGCCGCCACTATTTAGCCAGCGAGCGTCGCTACAATTACACAACGCCGAAGTCCTTCCTCGAACAGATCAGCCTGTACACACGTTTGCTGAAGACGAAGTCCAAGGAGCTTCGCGGCCGAGTCGCCAGGTTGGAGAACGGTTTGGAAAAGCTCAGATCCACCGCGGTGCAGGTGGACAAGCTGAAGGAGAAGCTGGCAGTGCAGGAGGTGGAGTTGCAGCAGAAGAACGACGCCGCGGACGCGTTGATCGCGATCGTAGGCGTGGAGACCGAGAAGGTGCAGAAGGAGAAGGCTTTAGGTGCGCAAGCCTCGATCATTTCGGCCGAACCTAAGTCCGATGCAAATTCGTTTCCGATTGTCTGCAGCCGACGAGGAGGAGTCGAAGGTGGCGATCATCGCGGAGGAAGTGTCGAAGAAGCAAAAGGACTGCGAGGCGGATCTGACGAAGGCGGAGCCGGCGCTGCTGGCGGCCCAGGAAGCTCTGAACACCCTGAACAAGGCGAACCTAACCGAATTAAAGTCGTTCGGCTCGCCTCCAGGCGCTGTGACCAACGTGACGGCGGCTGTGATGGTCCTGCTGGCACCAGCAGGCAAAGTGCCCAAGGATCGCAGCTGGAAGGCTGCCAAGGTAAAACGAGGTCAACGAATCGCCCCGGAATGTTGCAGCGAGCATTCTTCCGCCCGTTTAGATCGTGATGGCGAAGGTCGACACGTTCCTCGACTCTCTGATCAATTACGACAAGGAGAACATCCATCCCGAGGTGATCAAGGCCATTCAACCGTACCTGAAGGACTCCGAGTTCGAACCCGAGTTCGTTAGGTCGAAATCGGCGGCGGCGGCGGGTCTCTGCGCCTGGGTCATCAACATCATCAAGTTCTACGAGGTGTTCTGCGACGTGGAGCCGAAGAGGAAGGCGCTGGCACACGCGAACGCCGAGCTCGCGGCCGCGCAGGACAAGTTGGGCGTGATTAAACGAAAAGTTGCTGTAGGTGACAATTTGTACAGTTCGACTATAATTCGTTTCGAGCGCATAAGTTCTCGCCAACATTATTGGTATCGTTATTGCTTCGGAACGCAGTCTCTCGAGGAGCAATTGGCGAAGCTGACGGCGGACTTCGAGCAGGCCACGGCCGAGAAGTTGAAGTGTCAGCAAGAGGCTGACGCTACGAACGCGACTATCGCGTTGGCTAACAGGCTGGTAGGTGGTTTAGCCTCGGAGAACGTTCGGTGGGCGGACTCCGTCGCAAAGTAAGTTTCGCGAAGAGTAAATTGCGCTTTCGCGATTGCACTTTCGAAAGGCTAAATGTAAACGACTTGTCCAAGTTTCATGCAGCAAGCGTCGACCTTGCCGGGCGACGTGCTGCTGGTAACAGCGTTCATCTCGTACGTTGGCTGCTTCACGAAGCAATTCCGGCTGGATCTACAGCAGAAGCAATGGCTGCCGTTCCTGAGAGCGATGGAGCCGCCAGTTCCGATAACAGAAGGTCTGGACCCGCTGTCCTTGCTGACGGACGACACTCAGATAGCCAAATGGAACAACGAGGGCCTGCCGAACGACAGGATGTCCACAGAGAACGCCACCATCCTGACAAACTCGGATCGTTGGCCGTTGATGATCGATCCACAAGTACGTAATTGCATCGTTCCACCCGCGAGCTTCGCGTCGTCGCCTCTAAAACGATCAACTTTTCGCAGCTCCAGGGCATCAAGTGGATCAAACAGAAGTACGGCGAGGACCTGAGGGTCATTAGGCTCGGTCAGAAGGGTTGCCTGGATGTCATCGAGCAGTCCCTGGCATCGGGATCGACCGTTCTAGTCGAGAACATCGGCGAAACGGTGGACCCGGTGTTGGATCCTCTGTTGGGCAGGAACTTGATTAAGAAGGGTCGCGCGATTAAGATCGGCGACAAGGAGGTCGAGTACAACCCGCTGTTCAGATTACTGTTGCACACCAAGCTGGCTAATCCGCATTACAAGCCCGAGATGCAGGCGCAAACAACCCTGATTAATTTCACGGTGACGAGGGACGGCCTCGAGGATCAACTGCTGGCGGAAGTGGTGAAGGCCGAACGACCGGACCTCGAGGAGCTGAAGGCAGAGCTGACCAGGCAGCAGAACGACTTCAAGATCACGTTGAACAGCCTGGAGGACTCGCTGTTATCGAGGTGCGACCGCTAAGAGCTCTCTCGCGCTTTCATTAGGCTATCGAGAAGGTTAACGCTGCTTCGGTCGATGAAGATTAGACTGCGGACTTTATGCATTTTTAACAGAAACAACTAGGTCAAATATAAAATTTTGAAAACATTAGGAAAACTTCCGAATAACTTTCCAGTTAAAACGACCGAAAGAGGAAAGAGACGTTCATCAGACTCGCGTTTCTCGCAACGATCGTAAGGACTTTTTATTTCGCGTAAAGATCCGCGGTCTAACGACGATAAATGGCAACGAATGATCGAATCTTGCGAACAAATTGTTCAACTATTTCGACGGCGAGCCCCGTCAGAAGCGGCGCGAGCTTTCGCGGTGGCTCGACGTTTCCCGTTCGTCCGATATCCTCTGATCGTTTTCCGATGACGAGCCGACAATTGGCCGCAGACTGTCGTCGGCTGGCAGCAACGTGTTAGGGGACACGTCGCTGGTGGAGAACCTCGAGACGACCAAGAGGACAGCGGCGGAAATCGAGTCGAAGGTGACGGAAGCCCGCGGGACCAGCAAAGAGATCGACGCTGCTCGGGAACTGTATCGACCGGCGGCCGCCAGAGCTTCCCTCCTCTATTTCATCCTGAACGATCTGAACACCATCAATCCGATCTATCAGTTCTCGCTGAAGGCCTTCAGCGTCGTGTTCCAGAACGCAATCTCGAAGGCGGACCCGGCGCCGGACGTGTCCGGCAGGGTGAAGAATCTGATCGAGTGCATCACGTATTCGGTGTTCATGTACACCAGCAGAGGGCTGTTCGAGTGCGACAAGCTGATCTTCGCCTCGCAGATGGCCTTCCAGATATTGTTGGCACGGAACGAGGTGACCACCGGCGAGCTGGACTTCCTCCTGCGGTTCCCCATCACGCCCCACGTCACTTCGCCCGTTGACTTTCTCACCAACACCAGCTGGGGAGGGATCAGGAGCCTGGCCAGCCGGGAGGAGTTTCGGTGAGAGACTTTTTAATCATTCGCCCGGTCGGATCACTCGTTCCGTTCGTTTTTCCGCGCAGCAATTTAGACAGGGACATCGAGAGCTCGGCGAAACGTTGGAAGAAGCTGGTCGAATGCGAGTGCCCGGAGCGGGAAAAGTTCCCGCAGGAGTGGAAGAACAAGACGACCATCCAGCGTCTGTGCATGCTGAGAGCGCTGCGACCCGACAGGATGACCTACGCGATCGCCGCGTTCATCGAGGAGAAGCTGGGTCCCAGGTACATCGAAGGCAGAACGGTGGAGTTCGCGAAGTCCTTCGAGGAAACTGGTCCATCGACGCCGATCTTCTTCATCCTATCCCCGGGAGTAAATCCTCTGAAGGTTAAATTGAAAAATCCTCGAACTTCTCCGCGCGAACCTTCCACGATATTTCTTCGAAATCGTTCCGCTTCCAGGACGTGGAAGATCTCGGTCGTCGGCTCGGCTACAGCTTGGACGACCAGAACTTCCACAACGTGTCCTTGGGTCAGGGTCAGGAGACCGTCGCGGAGCAAGCGATGGACGAGGCGGCCACGAACGGCCACTGGGTGGTGCTGCAGAACATTCACTTGGTGAAGAAGTGGCTGCCGCTGTTGGAGAAGAAGCTGGAAGTCGCCGCGGACGGGTCCCACGCCGAGTACAGGGTGTTCATGAGCGCGGAGCCGGCCAGCACGCCCGCGGGACACATCATCCCCCAAGTAAAACATTCTCTTTGTGCCCCGGCACCCTCTAACTAAATTGTAAGGCGAGGTCGACCGTGGCTGAAACGAGACGAATTAGGGGATCCTGGAGTCGTCCATTAAGATCACGAACGAGCCGCCGACGGGGATGCAGGCGAACCTCCACAAAGCGTTGGACAACTTCAGCCAGGAGACGCTCGAGATGTGTAGCAAGGAGGCCGAGTTCAAGGCGATCCTGTTCTCCCTGTGCTATTTCCACGCGGTGGTCGCCGAGCGGCGCAAGTTCGGCCCGCAGGGCTGGAACAAAATCTACCCGTTCAACGTCGGCGACCTTCACATCAGCGTCAGCGTCCTCTATAATTACCTGGAGGCCTCGGCCAAGGTGCCCTGGGAGGACTTGAGGTTCGTGTTTCACCCTATGCTCCCTCTAACCGTTGCTTCGGCTCGAATAATTGTCCCCTAATGGTCGATGCTGGATCAAGGTACTTGTTCGGGGAGATCATGTACGGAGGCCACATCACGGACGACTGGGACAGGAGGCTCTGCGTCTCCTACCTGGAGGAGCTGATGCAGCCGGATCTCGTGGACGGGGAGCTTCAGTTAGCGCCAGGTGACGAAATTCCACGAGCGATCGATTAAACTGGCTTTCGGAGTCATGAGAGTCAGGAAGTATCTACAGAGTGTCCCAAAAATGTCTCGCAATCCGAAAGTGGCGGGTTCCTCGGGTTATTCGAAGCAACTTTTTCCTTTATAAAAATTTTCTCCGAGGCACCGTTAACGAGTTATTAACGAAAAACAGTGACCAATAAGAATCGAGTACGGCTGACGCTAGGCGGCCCAGCCAACCAGCGCACGAAGCCCAGTTCCGCTCATTGGCTCGGTCGCCTCGCGCCAGCCGAGCTCGCCTCTCATTGGTCATTGTTTTTCGTTAATAACTCGTTAACGGCTGTCTCTTATACACATCTAGATGTGTATAAGAGACAGGGAAGTATCTACAGAGTGTCCCAAAAATGTCTCGCAATCCGGAAATGGCGGGTTCCTCGGATCATTTGAAGCAGCTTCTTCCTTTACAAAATTTTTCTCCGAGGCGCCGTTAACAAGTTATTAACGAAAAACAGTGACCAATAAGAATCGAGTACGGCTGACGCTAGGCGGCCCAGCCAACCAGCGCACGAAGCCCAGTTCCGCTCATTGGCTCGGTCGCCTCGCGCCAGCCGAGCTCGCCTCTCATTGGTCATTGTTTTTCGTTAATAACTCGTTAACGGCTGTCTCTTATACACATCTAGATGTGTATAAGAGACAGGGAAGTATCTACAGAGTGTCCCAAAAATGTCTCGCAATCCGGAAATGGCGGGTTCCTCGGATCATTTGAAGCAGCTTCTTCCTTTACAAAATTTTTCTCCGAGGCGCCGTTAACAAGTTATTAACGAAAAACAGTGACCAATAAGAATCGAGTACGGCTGACGCTAGGCGGCCCAGCCAACCAGCGCACGAAGCCCAGTTCCGCTCATTGGCTCGGTCGCCTCGCGCCAGCCGAGCTCGCCTCTCATTGGTCATTGTTTTTCGTTAATAACTCGTTAACGGCTGTCTCTTATACACATCTAGATGTGTATAAGAGACAGGGAAGTATCTACAGAGTGTCCCAAAAATGTCTCGCAATCCGGAAATGGCGGGTTCCTCGGATCATTTGAAGCAGCTTCTTCCTTTACAAAATTTTTCTCCGAGGCGCCGTTAACAAGTTATTAACGAAAAACAGTGACCAATAAGAATCGAGTACGGCTGACGCTAGGCGGCCCAGCCAACCAGCGCACGAAGCCCAGTTCCGCTCATTGGCTCGGTCGCCTCGCGCCAGCCGAGCTCGCCTCTCATTGGTCATTGTTTTTCGTTAATAACTCGTTAACGGCTGTCTCTTATACACATCTAGATGTGTATAAGAGACAGGGAAGTATCTACAGAGTGTCCCAAAAATGTCTCGCAATCCGGAAATGGCGGGTTCCTCGGATCATTTGAAGCAGCTTCTTCCTTTACAAAATTTTTCTCCGAGGCGCCGTTAACAAGTTATTAACGAAAAACAGTGACCAATAAGAATCGAGTACGGCTGACGCTAGGCGGCCCAGCCAACCAGCGCACGAAGCCCAGTTCCGCTCATTGGCTCGGTCGCCTCGCGCCAGCCGAGCTCGCCTCTCATTGGTCATTGTTTTTCGTTAATAACTCGTTAACGGCTGTCTCTTATACACATCTAGATGTGTATAAGAGACAGCCATTTCCGGATTGCGAGACATTTTTGGGACATCCTGTATAAGTTTCTTTTCTGAAGGATTCCCCGCACCCCCGAACACCGATCTCACCGGTTACCACACGTACATCGACGAAGCGATGCCTCCAGAGTCCCCTTACCTCTACGGCCTTCATCCGAACGCAGAGATAGGCTTCCTGACGATGACCGCGGAGAATCTCTTCAAGACCGTCTTCGAAATGCAACCTAGGGACTCGGGGAGCTCCGGTGGGCAAACGGTGACTCGGGAAGAGAAGGTAAAATCATAACGTTGCAACGTTTATGACTCGTTGATCGAACGGTCCTGTCTAGGTGAAGCAAATATTGGACGAAATAATGGAGAAGCTGCCGGACGAGTTCAACATGACAGAGATCATGGGCAAGGTGGAGGAGAGGACACCGTACGTGATCGTAGCGTTCCAGGAATGCGAGAGGATGAACTATCTGACGATAGAGATCAAGAGGTCGCTTCGCGAGCTGGATCTCGGTCTGAAGGGTGAGCTGACCATCACGTCGGACATGGAGGACCTGGAGAACGCGGTGTTCCTCGACCAAGTGTCTCCTGTTTGGGCTCAGAGGGCTTATCCTTCTCTCTTGGGCCTCGCCGGCTGGTTCGTTGACCTGCTGCTGAGGATCAGGGAGCTGGAAACCTGGTCCACAGACTTCGTCGTAAGAAAATGCTTATCCCGGAAATGCTTATCGGAACTCTCACTCGTCGCTGTCACCGAGAAGCCTCGCTTCAAATCTTGTTCCAGCTGCCGTCGTCGGTCTGGCTGGCGGGATTCTTCAACCCCCAGTCCCTATTGACAGCCATTATGCAGTCGACTGCCAGGAGACAAGAGCTACCCCTCGACAAGATGTGTCTGCAGTGCGACGTGACGAAGAAGAACAAGGAAGAATTCACGTAAGCGACGGAAAGGAGAACGATAGCGTAATTTCGATTCGATTCCGCGTTCTCTGTCGTAGCTCGGCGCCCAGGGACGGCGCTTACATCCACGGAATCTTCATGGAGGGTGCCAGATGGGACGTTCAAACCGGAATCATCGTCGACTCGAAATCGAAGGAGCTGTTCCCAGCTATGCCTGTGATCAACGTGCGAGCGATCACGCAGGACAAGCAGGATCTCAGGAACATGTACGAGTGTCCAGTCTACAAGACCAGGACCAGAGGACCCACCTACGTGTGGACCTTCAATCTCAAGACCAAGGACAAGCCTGCCAAGTGGACCTTGGCTGGCGTCGCGCTGTTGCTTCAAACTTGAATTCCTGTCGTCGAGAGATCCAGTTGTCTATATCTTCGAGTCGAGCAAAATGTTGAATGTTGATTGTTTCAAGATTATTAAAGTTCTCGAAAAAGAAGCGTCCATTCGATCAGCGAGTTCCGTCGCCTCTGATTACGTACAAGGTCCTGTGGTTTAACTATGAAACTCTTCAAGTCCGTTCACCGAGTCGAATCACCGGACATAAACAAATTCACGTGGCGATATTCTGATAAAACAGGGCCGTAATAAGGCCCAAGTAACAGGGCCAATAATCTGAATTATTGTACCCAACATTTCTTTGGCCGAGATTTTCGGATTGATAGCAATCGTCGCACATATGTTTCGTTTACTATAATATGTATACTCTTGTAAGGAGTTTCATGATTGCTTCTGGATTTTGTTGCATACGTTGCATCATCGTTTTAAGCGGTTATTTATCATTATCATCTTCGAACGCAGAACTTGTGGAAGGCGCGTCCGACATCAAATGTCAGAAACGTGTCATAAAAAGCGACGAAACAACAATATAACTGGGAAATGACAAAAGAAATATATCACGGAGACAAGGCAACAATGCAGACAACAACAATAAAGAAATTAATATAAAAATGCGGACTGGACTCGGACGACGCGTTTTACAGAACGACGAAAGGAACAGTAAACTGCATCCCTGAATTTGATAATTGACTATCGAGCGTTCATTCCTTTCTGCCAATAGCCGTAACACGTGGATAATTCGTTCACACATCTGATGACTCGGCCCGGCGAACGGACATCGGCTGCTTCAACGAACGAGTCTCGTGCTGGAAATCGTCTCGGTCCGCCATTAGGTCCGACCGGAACGCGTCAAACGACCGGTTCGCCTGCTACCGGCGATCGATCCGCGAATGTCGGTCGTTTAAAAAAGAACGGGGGAACCGACACACGTGGCCCGGCGATTGCGACAGCGGAAGAAGAAGAAGAAGACAATAATTCGAGCGTAAATCCCGGAGGGCCCATCGAATGGAGGATATCCAGAGGTCGACTAATCGACCAGGAGTTAATAAACCGTAAGACGGAAAGGAAACCGACGCGCGGTCTCCCGAGGAGTCGCCCCGTTTCCTGTCGGCCGACTTCCACACGGGGGACCCCGCTTCGGTGGGGCCGGGGCGCGGAATTATCTGTCATTCCTCGAAATAAAACCATCGGCGAAGGGGATCGATAGCTCTTGGGAGCCGGACGGCCGGCCGTGAAACTGAGGGAGAAAGGGAAAAACGAAAAGCGGAAGACAAAAACGCGCGGAAGGTGAAAACGCGCGGCAGGATGCGAGTATCCGGGCCGCCTCGGGGACATAAAAGCTTTCAGATTGCGGCGCGGGATCAAAATTGTATCGTGTTAGCGAAAGAAATTAGATTTCCCTTCCGACGGGGACGTCGAAGCGCGCAGCGGATCGCTCGGGGAACGATCTCTCGCTACAGAATGGAATCCCATCAAATATGCAGAGGTTATTAGCTCTCGAAGAACCGAGGAAAAATGTTTGCCCTCGCCGTTCGCCCCCGCCGTCTCCCGTCCGAGAAGGATCCCCGGTCCCCCGGCCCCTCGAAGACGCGGGGAGGATAAACTCCTGTTGATCAACCTGTTAACTAATGCAGCCGATGTTTCTGTGTTGCCGTGGGGTGGCTCCGCTTTATAAATTCTACATCGGACCCGTAAGTAGTTCGAAAAACTTCTCTGTTCACCGAGCCGCTATTTATTTAATCTCTCGCCGCTCGCTCTTCGTATGGGACAAAGACGAGAAGTTAGCTCTTCGGTTTCGCGAAAACAACGTTCAGCCTGGCCTTGGCACTTTTCTGCTATCTGCGAACCCACGCTAGTCTGAAGCTGCGTTCGTAACCTCGGTGATTCTATCGAGAAATCGTTGGAAGTGAGACAACTCAACGTCCCCCGGTGCAGAAACATTTTTTAATCTCAGACTGGTGGCGACGTATACAGTAATGTCTCCCTAATTGACGCTCAGATTGTGCACAAAAGTGGACAATTTCGGAAAGGGAGATACCATTATTCGAGTCTTGCAGCTCGTTTTTGTAATTGTTGACAATTGGTAACTATAAAAACGAGTTGCAAGGCTTGAATAATGCTATCTTCTCTTCCCAAATTGTCCATTTTTGTGTACAATCTGAGCGTCAATTAGGGATACATTATTGTACTTACGTGCATATGTATTTGGACACTGGGTAAGGTACGATGAAAAATTTTATAACTTCATTCGATTGCTATGTCTCTCTAATTGACGCTCTGATTGTCCACAAAAGTGGACAATTTGGGAAGATGAAATACGATCTAAAAGAAGCATCGACATTTCTCTTTCGTTTCTCTTTTGGTTAAGTTCGTTCGTATGTCATCTTACGAGCAAAAACGTGCTTTGTATTATTATGTTTTCACGACTAATTTGCGAAATCCTTATTTATCTCATTTCGAGGTTAATGGAGTTACGCTAGTCGTTGACAATCGAGACAAAACGAGATACAAGACTGGAATAATCGTGTCTCCTCTTCCAAAATTGTCCATTTTTGTGCACAATCGAAGCGTCGATTAGGGAGATTTTATTTATCTGCGAAAAAGTTTGCAAAAGAATCTATAATTCCATATAGGAACCAGATTCTTTTGCGAACATTTTTGCGGATATAATAAATTCTGCTTAATTGACGCTCAGATTGTGCATAAAGATGGACAATTTGGGAAGAGAAGACACGATTATTCGATCCTTGCGGTTCACTTTTATAGTCACGAATTGTCAACAACTATAAAAACGAGCTGCAAGGCTCGAATAATCGTATCTCCTCTTCCCAAATTGTCCATTTTTGTGCACAATCTGAGCGTCAGTTAGGGAGACATTACTGTACATATTCACGTACAATGAACATTTACGAATTCTGTTAAATTCGTAAAATTCTGAAAAACTTCGTAATAAAATAATTAAAATATGAAAATAATTAAATATTGCGTGCATCTATGTGCCCGTGACAATTAATAGTAACTCGACGTCAAATTGATCCCGTCTATTACTGCATAGTCTATTCGACGTTAACACCGGTGATATTAAAACAGAGAACACCGCTTAATTTTTAAGTCATCAAAAATTAAAAAGCCTTTCGCGAGCGAAAATTGCTGTCGAGAAGCAATTTTTCGTTGGTCAATTGCAATAACGCGGTTCTCCGGCGAGACTAAAAATGGCGTCCGCTCGATTGCGCGCACGAGGCATCGAAATCCGAGGTTTTCCGGCCCGCCGCCGTTATAAGAGTTTCATTAGCCCGGACACAAAGAAAATCCGGATGGCCCGGCGGACGGTGCACTCCGCGCAAAGTCAACTCGTGAATCCCATCGAATCAAAGGGGCAGAGCGAGAGAGAGAGAAAGGGAGAGAGAGAGAGAGAGAGGGAGACAGAGAGGGTGAGCGGCAAAAAAGTGCTCGGACGGAGGGCGGTGATTGGCTAGCAAACACCCTCCTCGTGATTCGTGCCGATCGATTGGCCCCTCGTGCACCGGCTTCAATCACGGTTTTCATTAAGCCTGGCCGGACAACCGAGGGCAAGAACAGGATCGAATACCCTGTGCTCCTTGCGTCAACCATCGCTCGAGGACGTCGATGCCTTCCGTTAGGATCCTCCGGCAGCCTCGCTGACTAATCGACCGGTCAGATATGCCCGAAATCCGGCGAGTTTTCCTGCAGGAACCATGGATCTGTGAACAGAGGATGAACAGGAAACGAGGAAAGTTTGTAACCGAACCTTCGCGGGCCAAATTCGGAGATAGCCAGGGAGAGAACCTCGAGGGCTGAGAGTCGAGGATAATCATAATGCCGCGCATTGCAATCGTAGTGGAAGAAGACGCAAAGCCTTCCCGATGTTTATCGATTAAACAACTGTGCTAACGGCTTCTTCGAAAGTCACGGTGTTTCGATGCTGCTGTTGAACGGTTCGCAGCTACCAAGATTTTTGTCGCGTTCGAATTGCTGAACAATTTTGCAGCTACCAAGATATTGATCGCGTTTGAACAATTGAACGGTTTGAAGCTGACGAGATTTTTGTTGCATATGAACGGTTAAAGAATTTGCAGCTACCACGATTTTGATCGCGTTTGAACAGTTGAAGTGTTCGAAGCGTTCCAAGATTTTTGTTGCATATGGACAGTTAAACAATTTACAGCTACTAAGAGTTTTATCGCGTTTGAACAATTGAAGAGTTCGTAGCGTTCCTAAATTTTTATCGCGTTCGAATTTCTGAACAGTTTGCAGCTACCAAGATTTTTATCGCGTTTGAACAATTGAACAATTTGAAGTTACCAAGATTTTTATTGCGTTCGAATTGGTGAACAGTTTGCAGCTACCAAGATTTTTTCGCGTTTGAACAATTGAACAGTTCGAAGCAGCCAAGATTTGTATCGCGTTCGAATTGCTGAACAATTTTGCAGCTACCAAGATTTTTATCGCGTTTGAACAGTTGAAGAGTTCGAAGCGTTCCTAGATTTTCATTGCATTTAACCAGGCGAACCAGTTTGAAGCCACAGATTTTGAAGCTTGCAAAATCTTAATCACATCGGAAAATGAATAGACTGCGCTTGGTTCTATTCGATTTTGTTTTTAGCGCCGAAATTTTTGCTCGCAGAGTACATTTCGCCGCGGCAGCGAGACCGTGGAAGAGTATTTCGAGAGTTGTCTCTGGTAACGAGCGATCGATAGAACATAATGAAACCGACAGAGCCGAGAGGCTTCCGAGAAGCAGGAGTGGCTCTTTGACAAAGAATTCTTCGCGACGAGTAATCTTCCCCTTCGGAATGCTAATTTGAACGGCGAAGAATGGGCTCCGCCTCGTCTCTCTCTCTCTCTCTGTCTTTTCCTCTCTCCTTCTCCCCGTTCCCCTGGGAGTACACAGCGTCGAATTAATTCACCGAAATTCCCTGCCGAACGGATTTCGAGCGTCACCTTTCGGAATCACGGATCGTGCACACGTGTCCCCGCGATTCTGCATCTGCTCGCGACGCGGTCGTTAACGGCGGCTCGTTAGCGTGACGAATCGGTTGTCAAAACGACGTGTCGCCGATGCGATCGGTTTCACTGTGT